TGATCTTGACAGAGTTAATCTTGATGACACACGGGTACGGCCTCTCGTGACAAGCAGGAGGTTCAACAGCACTGAAAAACAGACGGTAAGCCTCTCTCTCTGACATTTCCTGCCACACACACACACACACACACACACACACACACACACACACACAGATAACAGAGCCTCACGGTGGCTTTGAAACCAGCCACTGTTAAGGCAGTCTTGCCACAAGAGGAGATAAACATAAACCTAGTAACAGATGTGTGTATGTGTGTGAGTGTGTATTTCTTTCAGCGAATGTATGTGAGTGAGCACATTCTTTTGTTCACCTGTGTGTACGACAGGTGTGTGTGCATGCCAGGACTGAGGGCACTGGTAACGAAACACCTCTGTCCGGCCAGCACACACATAAACGTCCCTGCGGGTTAATTTAAATTTCAGACCAGCTCGGCTTGCCCCGCCTGCTACCTCGGACACGTTACACTGGTGTGAGCATTACAACTGCTGGGTAATGGGACACAAAGTGGGGGATAAGGTGACACATCCAATCCCGCAGAGCACGGCCCTGTTCAGCATTAGGTTGCAGGTGAAAATGTTTCCAAGCTCTGAGATCACATAGGGACCTCCCAGCGAGGGCCTGTGTGGGCGCCTGTCAATTTCCTCTTTTAGCTTAAAAAGGTGACACCTAAGATGCAGCATCTGAGGAGAGTGACAAGGACATCCTTTGTGTGAGGGTCAATATCTAAGATAGTCTCCTTTGTGTGTGTGTGTGTGCGTGTGTCTGCAGGGGGTTATCCAGAGAAGAAAGACTGTCGATTAGTGCAGTCCAAGGAGAAAACACTACCAAGCTCCTAGACTCAGTTTGTGTTACACAGCTCCCCCTGTTGTGGTAAGTGTGTTAGTGTCAGGAAAACGAATGCCTTTATCTTTACATTTTTTCAATTACAACAAAAACATGTAATTGTCAAACACACTTTGTATATCCTAGAAATTTACACCAGCAATAACAGTCATTCAATTACAGGTTAAAGGTCACAACACAGAGTGTACACAGCAAACAGTAGTGTTTTTAAGTACTAAATATTAAGTATAAATATATAAGTATAAAAAGCATAAAATCAACCTAAATATTGAAGGTAAGTATCATCGACAGGGTAGCATCAAGATTATTTTAAGATGCAGACTTTTACCCTTAATTTTTAAATATTGGTTGTAAAACAAGATTGCAAATAAGTAAATTGCCACTTAGTCTATACCACACCCATAACCTGAAGCCTGAGGGCCCCTGATGTTGATGGGCCTCAGTGCAGTTTCCCACTTTACCCATTTTAAAGCATTGGTAATCTTGGTCTATCTTGGTTGAGCATGCCAATCTACATAACAGAATATTCAGTGAGCATTAAGAAAGAACAGAGGAGCAGGATGAGATTACATATACACCTACATTGGTTTTACCATGGAATACCATAATATCATGTAAAGACACGCCAGTGTACAAGTGGCTGCTTATGGATACTTCTCTTATTATTACAGTTGTGTAGTTGTACATGAGGTGAATAGTGTTTTCATGTGGAACAACTGAAATGAGAGTATTGTTTGTGTAATGAGTGTAGATTTCATTTCATTCTACTGTTTTACCCACTGGACGAAGGCATTATGTTTATGGGTCCATACGTCCCATTCTGAACATGATTTTATATTAATGTCTTGAGGGAATTTCTTCAAATTTCTGTACAAATATCAAAATACATCTTTTACATTGTGAACGCAATATCTTGGGAACACCTCCAGGGAATCCTTTCAAATTTTCTCACAAATATTTACCTGGGCTCACTGATTCACTGTTTAGATTTGGTAGTCAAAGGTCAAAGATCAAAGTCATGGGGGCCTGACAGATGAGGTTTTTGGCTTCTTGAATATGATGTAAAATTTTGTCCAGTTGTCACTTGGACTTTCAGTGATCGAGTGAAAACGTTCACACTGACCTCATATTATTGTGAATGTGATGTGTCAGGAATATCTGGACTGTTTGGCAGAGGCATACAAACACAAACTGGTTATTGTCATATTATTCTAGAATCAGAAGATGAGTCACATCTGACGTCAAACCATTGCCATATGTTGTGAAATCATTTCTTGAGTAAAGTAGTGCCCTTCTGACAAAACTTCCTTCCTTTGAGAAAGAGCTGATCCCTCAATTCAATCAGCTTCCAAGAAACTGGACTCAGCATGACACTTAACTTTCACTCAATGTGAAATCCCAGAACACCACCAATCACCAAATCCTGGACGTCCCTGTAAATCTGTGGTTTCAGTCTTACAAAATCAGCACAAAAAAAGTCCAATCATCAATTAGTGTCAATTACAATAAGTGTCCTCAAAATGATCTTGGGATTATATAATCTTATCATATAATTATCAGTCAGTGAAATTCAGTGATTGTTAAGTGGGAACACAAAAATTGGGTCATTTTATTTCCAGTTTTGTGAATCCAGGGTAATCTAACATTAAAAGAACCTCTACTTTACAAAAATGAGAAAATTATGACAACATAAAAACTCTGTTTGTATTGTGCATACTCTCCTTGCCTGTCATCTTAAAACCCATCTTTACTTCTTTAAGGTCCACTGTTTAAGATTTAGGTGAAAGGGATCTATTGGTAGAAATTTAATATAAAAAAATCCTTGTGTATTATCACCTATATTGTACGAATTGTTGTTTTTTTTAACCCTAGAATGAACACTTTATATGTACATCAGGAGGGTGAAGTGAGGGGTTTTCAGCTGCAACATGCAACTTCACCACTAGATGTCACTAAATTATACACACTGGACCTTTAAATCCTTCCAGATTGACCTTGGGGTCCATTTTTTAAATGTGTGTTGAAGGGATGAGCATTGTTCATTACGGTGAACCTTATTTTAAACACCAAGAGTTCCACAGACTAAAAGATACATCGCACTAAATGTACTCATACTCACCACATACTTTTCTCTTGCACTGTACCAGGCAGATCTAAAGGTGACACTGTGTTACACGGTACATCAAATAATCCATGTGATTGCTTTCCAAATGGGTCATTGAAAATCAAGCTGTAGAGCGAGGCCCCAGCAGTGAATAATGGCCTCCTTTCATGTGCAGGATTGACTGGAGATCAAACCAGTGTGGATTTCAGGGATCAGATTTGACAGCTTCACTTCACAACCTATCGAGCATGGCCAGATGTAACGTATCTACAGTGACTGATCAAGGGGCCTTGTGTCAGAGCATGAGTGACCTTTGAGGTGATTACATAACTCAAGCAAACAGTATTCGTTTGGATTTACTGGATGATTTGGGAGGATAAAATCTCAGTTTGTTTGACTGTGTGGAGAAATACACTTTTCACTTTCCTGCCACGATGAAGACGGGCCTGGATCTAGAACTGTGCCCACGCAATTGGTCAACTTTATTCTCTGCAATTTGAATCTGCCTATCACATTTATTTCATTCACCCAGTCAGATTATCCTGATTTCTGAATTGCTGGTTGGACATAGGTTGGACTCTCTGAGTGAAATTGATCTAAATTTGAATGATCTGATATTGATTCATCAAAAGGTTCGATCATTTGATAAATACCTTTTACCTGCGTGACCTATTATGTAATTATGTTATCATTATATCAGTGGTATGAAATGGTTTCAAAATGATGACAATAATATAAAACAATAATTACTGGTAAAACATATCTCCCAACAAAATGTGTTAGATGAAAGCTAGATAGGGAATTTCTTTCATATCCAGGTAAAATTGTTATTGTACAAAGAAATATCCTCAACTGAATCATTACTGAATTCAATCAAATCAAGTCCTTGTGAATGGGAATCGAATTAATCAAATTATTAAGTCTTATACGACAGAGTCAGACTTTCCACAGATTAAAACAACTGAGGTCAAATCTCTAAAACATATACTTCCACTAGATGTCATGCTTGTATCAACTAAGCCTGAATCAGTGGGCACCTATATAGATTCTCCCAGGACCCCAAGTATAGGTAGTTTGGATCCGTCTAATTGCTGCAACAATCTCACACATCTCTACTCCTATTTCAACATTAATCACAAATATTTCTTCCCTATATTTGTTTGTGTGAGACGTCACATTCTCTGGATCTATTCATTAAAAGGTCAACTCTGCAGGCTGCTCTCCATGGAGGAATCACAATGGCCCAACACCACACAGGATGATCACACAGATCATAATGAAAGGGAAAAAAAAGAAATGCACAAAAAAAAGAAACCCCACAATTTCAAAAAGCATAGTAGCACTTTCAGTTTCCCCTTACTGCTGTCAGAGGATATGCCTGTTTCCTCTGAGGGCAGTATAATTCCAGTTCTCTTAAATTCTGTTACGCTCAGATGGAGACTGAATAATAATAATACATAAGAATACATAAGAATAACATTAATAATAAATTACGATTATTATGATTGTGATTATGATGATGATGATGATGATGATGATAATCATCATAATAATAATAATCATAATAACAACAATAATAATAATAATAATAATAATAATTGTATTATTTGTGTTCTTGAAATGTGTTTGATTGATTATTTTTGGTATTATGTTCTCCTTGCTTATAATTCAAAAATAAATGTTATCCTTTACACTCTATATTCTTTATTATCATCATTGCTTGGAGTGCTATTAGTTTTCTCTCTGTCACTCTTTAAATAAATCCTCTTTTCTTTACAGTGTTATGGAAATTGTTAAATTAAAGAACAGCAAATCCAACACCATGTCTGGACTAAACCTGCTAATTCATCTCAATCTCTTCAACGTTCCCAATAATTTGGGTTTCTTAAAATAAAATATGACACACCACACTTGAATTTGATGAATTTCATGGAAATGTCCAACTACTCATTACGAGACTTGTTCACATGAACACATAGAGGGAAGCCCCCACATGGACCTACTATATATATATGTTTAAGGTTATGTATTAACCAGTGTTCACTTGAGGTCAATACTTAAAAGACTGTTCCCCAACAGAGGCCATGAACATCCTGATTGGTGAGTAGTGAGGTCATGCTGATGAAGGAACACTGCTCCTCATTCACCTCCTCACACTCAGAGAGGAAACACACTGAGGTGCAGGAGCAGATATCAGGTGGTGGTTATATTCCACACTGGCTCAAAGGGTCCTGTTTGCTATGTTTAACTGCTGCATTTAGTTTTGTGTCAGGTTTCACATTTCACTGACTTCACTCTCAACTCATGCAGCTATGTAGCCTGGAGGAGGGCATGTCCAGTGCTGCAGCCGAGCAGAGAGCCTGGCTTTGTTCCTCCTTTGCCTCACACACACACACACACATTGTGCTGGGTTCACGCGGATGGGCTCGTTCTGGTGCCACACAGCTCCTTGTTCTGTCCTAATCGCTCTGCTCTCCTCCTCTCGCAGTAATCGCCGTCCCCTGCCTTGTCATGGCCACGCTCGCCCGCAGCGCACCTCTGCCGACGTGGAGCCCACTTGTTGAGGAGCCGCAGTTCCAGGAGCTGGTGCACCGGAGCCGCAGCCTGGCGCACAAGATCCTGCTCTCCGTGCCCGACGCGCACTCATCCTGCATCCACACGGAGGTGAGACACCGCAGACACACTGATGCATTGTGTGATCCAGGCTGACTGCTGCGTGATTTAACTGCGGGTGCATATGACCGAAGGTCTGAAATCTGACCATGTGTTAGTATTATTATTTCTCTGTGAGATGTTGGAAAGTTACATACATCAGCTGGAAGAGTCCTTGTATCATTGGAAGCTGTTTTTAGGTCCTTTATTCACGATGTGTCTTGGAGCAGTTACTGAAGAGCTTTGATCCCTGAGGTCTGTGATTTATTGTCAGGGTTAATCAGCCAATCTCCATATGGTTTATGCTCTATTCTGTCGAGGGGTGTTGCCTATAGATAAATACATATATTATTTTTATCATCAGGGTATAATATTGAGTTATTTGGTTTGTTAGGTGTATTTGTGATAATGTTGAGTTACTTCATGGTAGTATCTATCTATTTTTTATATCTGTGTCATGCCAACGCATTTTGCCCATCCCCTCTTCCAGATTACAAGACACCTCTCATTTACACATCATTTGTCTTCTTCCGATATTACATTATAAAACAAAATATCTGTGGAAAAGGACAAAGAGAAGACACACACACACCAAAACAGACATTCTAAATGAACTTACCCTCACAGAACTATTACAAATCTATGAATGGACTCTCCCAGGTTTTGTCCAGACAATTGTTTAATTTCTAAGTTCCATAAATGAACAGCCAACTCAGTCTTTGTGCATTGCCCATAGTTACAATATCAATATATAATTTTTTAAATCATACAATATGTAATGCTTCACCCATTTACCTTTGTGCTGCACGTTTGATACATTTGTATTAAACTAGTGTGTCAATTTTTTGCCAATTTATACCTGTGCTACTGTAGAGGTAGATTTATGCTTAGTTTACATATTACACATGCAGACCCTATAATGATAAATTATGAAGTATATAATAATTAACACTGACATGATGACCCTTACTGTACAATACCTAAATGGACTCATTTTACTCACAATGTTTTTTTCAAAGAAAGTAGGCCTAAGAGCATGTGAAGGAAACACGTACATGTTTGCAGTTGCATGCCCAGCTGCTATCCATCCATAACATCTTTGTGTTATCTCTCCACTGCAGACTCTGCAACTAGACTCCGCGGAAAACGCAAAGCTTGAGATAATGGCAGCCAACATTGGCATCCCCCCGGCTCCAGTGCTCAGAGCCGTGTCAGAAAACTTCACTTTGGTAAGAATCTACAAACGAGTGAGGAAAATTTCATTGGGTGTAATAAGTTGGAAAAAAACATGACTGATATACTCTGATTCTTTTCTATTAGAGAACCTGTTTGACCCACATGTCTGAGGGTTTTCAGCTGCACCGGGCTTTACTGAATGCTGTTTCTGAAAGGCTGCAGAACAAAAACAAAGTGACAGAGCTAATGGCCGACATCAGAGACCTCACCATTCAGATCAACAAGGTAGGAGCATGCTTCCATCAGTCACCATCTGCCCTGATAAATGATTTACATTTGTAGCACCTACGTGAAGCTGTTTCCTTTCACCTTACAGATGCAGAAAATGGTCCAGAAAGAAGCTGTGCTGCAGCCCTTGCCGACCCCGATGGCTTTACGTCTACACGGGGAATACGAGGTTCAGGTGGCGGCGCATCTGACTCTGGTGCAGCTCCAGTCGTTTGGGCAGGATGCCATCCGCTGCCTCAGGAAACTGGACCAGAGCAACAAAGAGGAGATGGAGAGCTGAAGCGGATGAAGCAATGGGTGTCGCCCTCTAAATGCTTTTGGCTTTTGTTCCAAAAGTACCATATCCTGACATTTTTTTGTTATTGCATTCTATTTATTTATTTGCTAAAATATTATTTATTTTTTAAATTCTATTTCTATCAAGCAAGATGTGCAAAGGCTGTCACTCAAGCAAGAGAGGGGCAGTGGATGAAATTAGAGCATAGGGAGAAGGAAGATAAGCTAGCAGGATTAGCTTTATGCCTAGAGCGACCTATGACATCCTTCCCCTTGCGAAGATCCATCCTGCCCACTATGGTCAGCTCCAGCTACCCTCAGGCACATCCTCAAGTGTTGTAAAATAAGTGTCTCCTGAGGTTGGTGTACGTGGAGACAAAACCAGCTACTCAGATGCCTTGCAGCAACAATTGAAACAAAGAGACTGCTACCAATGCATTGGCACCCAAAACATCAAGCTCAGTTTAAAGGACATTTGTCCAGAAGGCTGAACAGGGGACTCCTCCACTGACCAGGAGTGGTCTGCTGAAGCATGCCCGAGACTGGGAGAGATTGGTGGAAAACCTTGAGATGGATACACTGGATCCAGTCCTCTGGAGCGAACGAGAAGAGAAGGCTGCAGAATGAAGACATGGCGTTTGAGGCAGAGCAACGTGGCTGGAAAGCAATAGTTAAGTAACATCCACCATCAGGTTGCTCAAAGTTCTGGGGATCACATCATCATGCACATCATCGTCATCTTGTAATATATTCTAAATTATATATATGTATTTATTTATAAATGTGGAATATTAAATATTTATTTGGGGGATTGATTTTGATAACAAAGCTTTGTATTGATCCATTATGTTTTTATCCTGCCGATTTCAACTATTTAACGCATGTTCGCACAAAAGCATTGAAAACTAAATCATGAAAAATCTCAGACAAAATCAAACAATATATATAATTAGTCTAAATACTATACTTCAAATTTCTCTTCATAACAGTTTAATATCAATAATATGTAAGAAAACAGCAAGTGCAGACACATGTATGAATTATCAACTATTAACACTCATATGAGGGAATGTGGGCACATTATGGAACCGTTATGTTGTTGGCAACATTTTGAAATGAAAAATATTGTAAAAACTGTATGTTGTGATCTTTTCAATAAAATAATAACAGTTTGCTTAAAAGTTATTTGTTTTACATCATTTAAGGCACTGAGTCATGCTGATGTTGCTGCCTCATCAATGAAATTATATATAAAATTCCATTGAAGCTGACAGTGGAATCAAGAAGTGGAACTAAAAGTGAAATAGATACTTAAGTGTCGTTATTTCAACCACAAACCCAGACAGATTTCCTCGAGGAAATTATGCAACTGATGACTGGGTGAGATCAAGCTTTTGTCAGTCAGGTGATAGTCTGTCAGCCCTTGTACGTATAATGTCATGTGGTAGCCTTGCTACCATGTGACCAATCAACTGACTGGGGTTTGTGACATCCTTATATGTTTTTATAAACGCACCATAAATAAAACTCGGTTATGTAAATACTCTCAAACAGAAACAGGATCTCAAGTGTAGGTTTAAGTCTAAATTTTATTTAGACAAGTGTGAAAAGGAACATTAAAAAAACAGTAGAAAAACAGTGTTTATAGATAAATGGCTACAGACACATTCTCCAACAAACAGAATCCCTTACAATTCTTATTATTCTGCCAGATACAAAACAAAGTATATTAGCTTTTTACCCTCTGACACAGTCTTGGGCCAACAGGATGTTAACTTAATACTGATGTAAATTTACACACTGTTCATAAGGCAGATATAGCTTTGGCAGCTACTCTCCTTCCAAGCGGCAGAGTCAGGTCAGTGATGGCCAGGACGACTTTAGGTTTGGCCAGAGCAGGCAGCTTCACCAGCTCAGAAACCTGGGAGCACAATAAGACCGATAATGATTATTTGCCAGATGAAGTGGCTCATAAGAAACAGAAAAAACTAAATTTTCACCATGAGAAACAGATAGTAAATTTAAACCATCTCTGTTTCTAACCCTCTATTGTTAAAGCTTGATTGCTACTCAATCCTTTCATATTATTTTCCCAGAATGCACTGTCAGCCACAAATTCATCAAAAAAGTGAAACTTGAAACCAGGTTTTTTAAAGTTCATCGTATGAATGCTCTTTCTATCTCACTATAAGATTTATCACTCAAAACCAAAGCACTCAACCCTGAAACATGTGATTGCAAAAAGCAGAAGAAACACTCAGCTGTGGATGGTGATCCAAAACCTTTCCAATAATGTCTGATGTAACAGCCACTCATCCTCCTCCCTATCTCCACCCATCCGACCTCTGTTCCCAATTCATAACTCACCATAGTAAAGGGCATGAACTGTAGGATGCTTCCACGACTTCCCTGCTCCAGCGACTCAACACACTCCTCCATGAAACTTTGCACGAACTGGGTGTGAGGTCCGGCCATCTTGGAACCCAGGATGGAGGAAATGAGGAGGAATAGGTTTGCTGGGGAAGAGAGGACAGGTGGTGTACACTGTTTAAGTAATTGCAAATTCTTTTGAGTTCAGCAGAGATTTGTTACTAGACTCTTGATGAACTCCCCCTCCAAACAGACTGTATTTTTATTTTGATAAACGTTACCCAACACTTTTTATTTTGCAATTACAGTTACCATTTGGCCTCAACATGCAAACTCCTCGAGATTAGATGTTAGATGATATATTGCAGCTGTGAAATTGTCATTTCTGCAGGACTACAGCACATTAAAAACATGTATTTACTGAGTTTAGACTAATAATCTTCTTGATTTCTTCCATTTGAATGACATAAAACATTATTTATATTTTTGAAAAAAAGGAAAAGAAAAATGTTCTCCACAGCCAAATTTATGTCATGTCCTGCATGTTCTACCCTGATGCACACCCTGACCTGAATGTTGCTGATCCTTCATATTTGACAGGAAAACAAATTTTCCAGACGTTCATGTCTGAACACAGCTGAAGTGTCTCATAAAAGGTGTTGAGTCATCACAAGGCACCTGCACACATGCAGTGCTCTTTGGCATAGAATTGACAAGCCTGTCTGTCTCTACTGGAGAAAAGTGAAACCACTTTTAAGGATATTTCTGCTGATTTTTTAATCGAACGTGAAGAACTGCAACCTTTCCTACTTTACTCTGGATTTGAAGGATCTGGTGACTTTGAAGGGGATAATTTCCAAACTAGCTAAATTCATTCATTCACTAACTTCTTGCATCTGTATTCATTCCTCACACTTTAAGTCAAGACATAATTTGTCACCTTTATTTAAAGCGTGAGTAGAAACACCAGGGTTCCTTTCTCCTTGTAAGTTGCTCACAACACGACATTGAGTGGACATAAAGGCCAAAGTTCTCACCCAGGACTCGGTTCAGAGGGTCCCTCATGTTGACGGTGTGGAGCTGGGACGCAGACAGGGAACTGCTCATAGATCGGTCTCCTATGATGCAATAGGTGACATGACAAATGTTTTCAGATCATATGGATATTTAACATAAAAAAACATACACAATACTAGAGTATGTCAACAGGGAAGTTGTAGTTATTCCTATTGTGTTGGTGGTGGACATAACGTAATCTTGACTACAGGTTGTGAAAAGCTTCCTTTCTTACACAATCTTCCATTGTTCCTAAAATAACCATGTTAGATAGTTCAACATTTCTTTTACAGAAGTGGGGCAGATTCTTTCTTTCTTTCCAATTTTATATAAATGAAAATAAAAGCCTAATCCTAAAACACAGTGATTTTCTTAATACTAATCAAGTTTTTAAGTGACTGGTCTTTTGATCGGAAAAGGTGGAGCTCACAGATTTTTTTCGCAAGTTTATGAGCTCATTGAGGAAAAGTGGCTGACTTCTTGTCTTGCAACACCCTGACTTCTAATAACCTCTGTTGAAATTTCTTACTGTATCTTTATCTAAAAGTGAAATGGTTTAAATTCCCGGAGGTGATTTTCTGAATGTTCTTTAGGTCGGTCAGGATGAGAAGGGTAGTAGTAGTAGACACAATACCATCCCTTTGTTGCTCTCAATATCAAACTTGTCACTTACTCCTTATAAAGGATTGAGTAAACCTCACATCAAGGGCTCAAGTTAGAACTTGGTGATGTACTAGGCGATCCACAGATAATGAATCTTGAGACAAATCTGTAGGTCCAAGTGCTCACAAGAGGCAACATGCTCGTAACAGGATCTCACAAAGTCTTTTTACTTTTGAAAACCATCTGGTATTTGCATAATCCCCATCTCAGACTGACACACTGATGACTGAACGGTCCCAGGTTTCATAGTACGACTGTGTATTAAAAAACAGACGTTAATAGACTGACCTGGACTGGAAAGGGCTACAGGCTCGTCCTCGTTGGAGCTAAGCAGGCGCATGAGTTTAGATGGTTGCGTGTCATCCAGGGGAAAGAGGCTGTTGTAGTCCTGCGGCAAACAAAGCATTTGTTTAGACTTCAGCGTGGCAGAGATCGATAAGACAATGGGCCTTGTTTTCACCTGCTCAAAATAGTTTACCAGTTTACCTCAATATCTTCTCGCTGCCTTTTGCGTTGACGCGCTGAGAACGAGCCTTTGTGGTGAGAAGAGTAGGAGCTGAGTGCGCACCACACAGACAACCTGAGGAGTCATCAGGAGAGTAAAGTCAACACCAGATGCCTGGAAACAAAAAACCACTGCCACCATTGACATCTGCTTCTCTTACTTGGCGAGTGCTTTCCCAGGTGGGTCTGCTAGGCTGTGCCAGTGGGCGGAGTCTGTGAGCAGGTTGGGCAGTATGGTACCCAGCAGGGTGAGGGTAATCTGCTGAGTGTCCAGACAGAAGATGCTGTAGAGCAGCTCCACCACCCGATTGGCCCACTCCTGACGAGTCTCCTTCAGCAGTTCCTGTAAGAAGATGCAACGCTCCTTTTACACACCTCAATGCGGCTGTTGGATACTCTCTGCGTAAGGTTTCTTTGGATGCTTGGATTTCTATCATCTTAAATTCCACAAGGACCACTCGTGGATGGAGCCATTTCTTTTTTTTTTATGAGCACCCATATTTGATGCACAGTCCTGCGAGGGGGGGACACAATACACTTTCCTACTGATGTAAAACCCACAGTGACTTCTATACAGAGTCATAATACGTTCTTAATTATTAGTTATTCTGACACAGTCATAATGTTGTACTATAACTGGTCAGAAATGTAATTGTGTGTAAATAAAGCAGAGCTGAACAATTGATTTGATGAAAGGATCAGCAGATCAATTTCAAATTTTTCTGTCAGAATCCGGCCCAGCCAGGGATAAGTCAATTAAAATGGTAATGTTGTTTTGTAAATGTTTTTAATGGTAATTAGATTAAGTGATTAATCATGACCTTTACTTTACTTCACCCTCTTACCTTGACCAGATTGTTGGTGAACCAGAAAACCCCTCCCATGTTGAGAAGACTCTCAAACAGATGTAGGGCGCGGCTGTCCACCCAGCCTTTGCGCAGTACCGTCTGGAACTGCACGCTGAGGGCCTTGTGGATGGGCTCTTTGGCGGGCAGCAGGTTGCGGTAAGGTATCGGCTCCTGACCCTCCATCGGGGGGCGCAGAGTTGCCGCCGTTTGTTGGAAGATGTCAGCGCACATGTGCTCCATGATGGAACTCATGATGATGACGCTGGTGAGAGCAAAGGGGGATATTGTTATTCCATGTAATAATGGACAGGGAAGGACACTGGTTGATCATTTCGTCGTTTCCATCCAAGACTGAAATTTGCGTGTTGTGGAGTTTATCACTGACCCAGGTACTTCCCTCGACATGGCATGTAAGCACAAATGTCTCTATATAGTGTATCCCGAGCGGGAAACTTTGATCGTTGGTTGGGTTGATGATGGGAATCGCAGGCATGATTTCCTTCAAGCGTTAAAGCGATATGTACAATACATGTCAGTGCCCAGTTCGTGTGTGTTTCAGACAGATTTATACCGTTCATTGTAAAACTGCAGCGTGTTCTCCCCATACAGCGGAGTCACAAGTTGTCTAATCATCGTCTGGGGTTTCTCCCTCTCGTCTCGCCCCAGCATCCTTACATGGGCGACCAGCCAGGCCACTGCACAGATTGCCATACTGCACACCTTTCCCTTAATGTTGTCAGTGATCTTCTACACTCAGAGAGAGATGACAGCAGAAAGAAAAGAGGAAGGAAGGAGACAGGATTCTGACTAAAACACGTGGTACAAAAACTTGAATGGAATAGGGAAAAAATGAGAAAGCTAAGACATCAGAAATGTGATGTCACTTTGGTTGCAGTTATCAACAGTTTCCACAGAGTTTCCTCATGCACACTTGAGAAATGAGTCAAAAAAAAAAAAAAAATCAGACGTGTAATGAGTGGGAAGGGTTACTAATACAAGATAAGCAACAACCATGTGGAAAGACTATTTCTCAATTACAGGAAGGCAAATATAAAAAAGTTACACCAACCTGTACTGCCTCCACAGATAGCACGCCATTTTCCCACGCATTCAGTACTTCCAAGATGGCAGCGGGGGTGCTGAGGCAAATTTCGTGCCATTTCACCTGACTGTCACAACAAATATACGTCAAAGGAACTTCCATATTTAGAGCATGACTTGCCATGTTAAAGAAATTTCCATTACGGAAACAAAACTGAAATGAAAACACAAATATTACAATGAAACACTGAAGTAGTGCAAGTTATCACTGTCTTGAACCTGAAGTTAAAAACAGGTTTGTCGTAGTTTTTAACAAATACATAAAAATGTATACGTGCTTACAAGTATATAATTACAGATATATAAATAATGTATTACATGTTTATGTTATACATATATAAAATGCAACCTCAAGTGATGCTGTTTTAAAGATGTGAAAAATTGTGAAATTATTTTCCATCTCTCACTAAAATGAAAAGAAACCAGTTGTTTAGAGGGGATGAAACTCCACTTATAAAATATACATATACATATACAAACGATAGAGAACATTGTCAGCAGTGAAGTGAAGTGTGCTGAGTGGTTCTCACAAAAATCATACATAAAACTAGAATGGCACTTTGTAGAGTGTGCCCGTTCGCCAGGGCAGAATAATCCTACATGATTGTCTAATTCTTACTTAAATAAAAAAGGAAGAAGTGTGAACCTTATTGATTTATTTCTCAGAAAATATAACTCTGCTGGTAAGCGACAGTGACAAGGGTGGGACAATCTGGTGACTAAAACCACGGATATCCTCTGTAGATCAAACCTTCTCATTTCCGTTTTGCTTTTGTGGTTTACCCAGCCTGCATAGACTGCAGCATCAAAGTACGCAGCCCCTGAATTGGAACACTGCCAGGGTCAAAATAGAATGGGTTCTTCCCAGACAGGGGGACACATGACCCTTTTATCAGTGGTAAAAATTAATTTTACATTTGTCTGCAACTCACACAAGTTTCATCTCTGAGGAGTTGTTCAGCAGGGTCACCAGGCTCTCCACTTTTCCAGGCTCAGGTCTGAAGCAAGGGTGGTCTGGGTTCAGAGTCTTGCCCTCTTCAGGCATACATGTCTGCAGCCACGTTTCAAAGAAAGGGGTCTCCCCTGAAGGGCTGGGGTCTGACAGGATCACCTGGAGACGGGAAATATGGGGAAGCCATGCACAGTTTGAATCAAACAATGCCGAATCAACCGAAACAGACAGATGACTCAGCCCTAATACAATCTAGAATTTTTTCTTACTGAAGATAATGAAGATAACGTTAGGGCTGTAATGCACAAGCCTCTGTGGACATCTTGTGGTCTTACATTGAAAAAGCAGGCAGATTTAATGTAGAGCAAGCTTGACTTGCCATTAACTAACCTCTGAACCGTATGTCTGCACCACATGGCAGAGCATGAGGAAGGAGATGTCAAAGAGCAGGGCCCGTACTGATGCAGATTTGGCTGAGAGAGAGAGGAGGGGAAAAGCCACAGGGTTAATATATTTCATTCATAAAATGGTCAATGAAGAAATGAATTCCCACATTGGAAGATGTCACTCGAGTGATAGAACTTACATCCTTCACCACTGATGTGCTTGGGAAACTCATTGAGCCTAGAACAAAAGACAAAAAAAAATAAATCACGTTTATATGACATAAAACATTAATAATCCGAAGACCATTCAAATATGGCTGTTACTTGGCATCTTATTATGCGATTCATGAGTCTAAAGACTGAAGATGACGTCAAATGTTAAGCATTTACTCACTTAATAAACTTTCGGGCAAAGGATTTAAGTTTCCCAGTGGCTGCTGCTGCTGCCAGGAGGAGATCAAGGCTCTTCCCAGACAACATGTGTCCCAGGACCCCTAAAAGGCCCTCAGGGGACTTGGAGTGGTCTGCATCTACAGTCTAATGAACAAGAAGAGACAGGTTTTACAAAGGTGTATTGACCATAGTATATGCTGTGATCTTTGAGAACCACTTTCAGTTACACGTGATCAGCATGTGACTTTGGTAAATTTTTTATACATATATTAGAGCACGACCAATATCGGCTCGCAAATAATATCGGCTGATATGAGTCTAGTGAAGAGACTATAAGCTCCACATCAACACTGTAACAATCATGGATTCCCTGTAGGGTTTATAACAGGTTGCGGTGCCCTACCTTGAGAATATTGGTAACAGTGGGCTCAGCTCTCAGGATAAGTCCCGGGTTAGGCTGGATGTTAGCATTTTCTGCTGTCTTTAGCCTTGGGGCGAACTCCCTGTCCTCGGTCCTGAATCAAATTTGCAAGGGGAGAGGGAGAGAGAGGGAGAGAGAGGGAGAGAGAGGGAGAGAGAGACAGAGAGAGAGGGAGATAGAGAGAGGAGGGTTTGGGGGATATGGAGGGTGTGATATTGTGTGAATATGGTGAATAAATCCATCCATGTTCAAAAAAAAAAAAAAAAAAAAATAACAACAGGCAGAAAACAGGATTTCTGGTGCATTTAATCCTTGATTAAAATCCTGTTGACGCTCTGCATCATATGCATTCCTTTAGAGATGACAAACCGTACCGTTTTGCGGTGAGAGTGGCTGTATTAGACTCTGACAGCAGACCAAGCTTGTTACACTCCTGTAGGAGCATGCCGAGACAGTCGCAACTATGAAAAGACGCACAAGAGAAAGTATGAAAACGTGAGAGGTGAAGGCTTATTAAAGATGGCTTGCTGATCTGCTAATGTCTTACAATAACACTACAAACACAGCAACATTGCTCACTTGCATCTCTGGTCAGCTTTGTCCAGCAGTGGAGTGAGCTTGAGTAAGTACTGAAAAGCAATATTTACATCCTCCATGAAGTCCTGGAAAAATAAATTGAAAAGAGGGGGAGAAGGATTGCATACAACAGTTAAAAAGCATATTAAGAGTTATGGCTTTATTAGAATATCTGCTTGGCAATAGTTCATAGATTTGATAGTCAGTTTGTTCATTTGTTGGAAAAATATCAGAGATGCAATTGTTTTACCTGTCCTTTGTCACCTTGTGGATACTTCTTCAGTCGCAGTAAAACTTGTGGGATCTAGCACAGAAATAGAAATAGTTTAGGGAAATAATAATATATAACAGAATCAAGTTAAGACTATTAAATCAAAAGGATATGTTTCCCCTCACCAGTTTAGAACTGACTTTTACCATTAAGTTAATGTCACAGACCAAGCAGAACAGATCTTACCTTGAGGAATGTGAACGCAGTCCATTTGAGCTCCTCTGTGCCCTCTGGTGACTCAATGAGGCCAGTGAAGCAAGCCTTCCAGACCTCCAGGACAAAATGAGCAGTAGGAATTTGCTAAGGAGGACAAACAGTTTGAGACATCTGCAGTTAATAAAGTAAAACACATGGAAAAACTGGCTTTCATCTGGCCAGTGACCAAAACTCATTATTCAAAGTCTTCATATCTTCATCATTTTGAGCTGCTAGCTTGAAAAGATGTGCAACAGATTTACCAACACATTTATCCGAAACTAAAATTTTCACCTGCATTCTCTTGATCATCATCAACTGCTCCACTAGCGGCTGTGTCTCCCCTGTCAAATTCATGGTCCCTTCTAGCATGATGAAAGCGTGGACTGAAGGAAAGGATGCATGGACCGGAGGGTCACTCTGCTCTGACAGCATCAGGGGAACACTGAGGAGAGAGTGAAGAGTTAGAAGGAGGGAGATTGACTGTCTTTAAAGGAACATCATGAATAAATAAGAAACGAGATGGGAATCTTCACCCTTTCACTAGTGATAAGCTCTCCTCTAGTTTAGTCCTCAGTGTCTGGTTGGGTACACTGCTGAGGCCTTCTGTCACTCTCTGCATTGCTTGTTCTACACTGCTCCAGGATCCTGTGGAGGAAAAGTTGTTGGTTTACTGATTGATTTCGTTTAAGTAGTGGCGAGGAGAGAATCATCGTCATTGTGTTCAAATACAAGAATATCACCTTGTTCCTCCAGCCGTGCAATGTGGACCAGGGCTCTGTTCTTGGTGCTGTTCATCAGACTTTGAAGCCTCTCCTGGCAGGCTCTCAGACTGGCCTCTGTGCTGACCGAGGGGCCCAGTTCTCTCAGCCTCTCACAATACCAGGCGCAGCCCTGCAGCAGCCACATCACCACTCCCAGCACAGCCCGACACAGTCCGATGCATTCCTCTGCTTTCCCGTGACAGCTGCAAAGTCAGAATTGAGAGTCAGAATGTCCAGCTCTTCATAAACAGCATTAATAATTTATATTAAAATTCAAGACCGGTTAGTCTAGAGTAAGATTAACAAGTGCACTAAAAATATAAAAGGCTGATCTCTGAGCACAGAAGTATTCTGGATGAGCTCTTCAAGAAAGAGGGAATAACAGTTTGGTAAACAATAAAACCAAAACCAACCTTTTCATTTTAGTATAGACACTGCTCAAAAGAATTAAGATACACTTAAATTACACATCACATCTTGATGAACAAATTATTCAAGTTGAAAATCTTTACTGATGCACATTGTGTAATTTGTGCAGAAAAAAGGTCAATGGAAACCAATTCAAATCTGGATTCAAAACCACACCGACAATCCACAGGCAGATCCAACTTGCTTGAATTTCATAATGGCAACTCATAATGTGACTCAGTACTGTGTATCTAGCCCGCCCCTCTGTGCCTGTAAGTACTCCTGACAATGTCTGGGCATGCTCCTGATGAGTCAGCTGATAGTGTCCTGAAGGATCTCCTCCCAGACTTGGATCAGGGCATCAGTGCCAATTCAGGTTTTCTATGGCGAATGCAAATCGAGCTGCACAGTGCTGGGCTTTGAGCACAGGTCCCACTAGAGGACAGTTTGGTCAGAAACATGCACACCAGTAGCCTGCTGGAGGTCATTTTGTAGGGCTCTGGCAGTGCTCCTCCTGCTCCTCCTCGCACAAAGGAGCAGATACCGGACCTGCTCCTGCTGCTAGGCTGATGCGTTTCTACAGCCCTGATCAGCTCTGCTTGTGTAACGGTCAGTCTCCTGGTATCTCCTCCATGCTATTGAGACTGTGCTGGGAGACACAGCAAACCTTCTTGCGACCGCACATATGGATGTGTCTTCCTGGGGGAGCTGGACTACCTTGATGTCCCTGATGTTTTACTGACTTGGTATTGTACTGTGAAGATCAAGTGTTCACTATGTATTTACTGTGTTTGTAAAAAAATGTTTAATTCAAAGTGTGATAGAACTTTCATTCGTGCAAGTTCATCTCTGAATTTGAATCAGAATTTTGCATGATTTAATTTGAACAGTTTCATTTCAATATTAATGGGCCATCTAACATACAAAACCTAGATTTCACAGTTGGCATGTTAAAAAGTGGAAAACGTGAGAGATAAACAAACACCACAGATAATTCCACATACCTAAGACGATGGCAGAACATGTCCATGATCTCCAACAGTGAATTGACACACAGCTCCCGAGAAAAATCTTCAAACTAACAAAACAAAAAGGCACATATAATGAAAATCTTTGGTATGTTACATATAAGTGCACGCTACCATCATTCTCATCAAGCATAAATTACCTTGCTGATGGCTAAGAGGACGCTGGAATAAGACACCATCTGGGGAGAGAGGGGGCAATGTTCACAAGTGCGAAAATAACATTAAAAAACTGTTTTGACACACTGTGTTTGAAACTCAATGTTTTGCCTTACCTGTGAGCTTATAGCATATTTCAGGTAAGACAAAATAAGGGGGTTAGGAGAGGGACCAATCATCGCCTGCTCCATCAGGGCCTCTGGAATTGACACACAAATAGTACCATTAAAAGATGACAGTAAGACAAGTGACATGATGTCAAATAATCTGCATTAAAGAAAAAAGACCAGCTCTTAATTATTCTGCTATAGGCCTAGATTTTCTACACTCCTGTCACACGGAGCTTCTCTTTCCTCCTCTCGCTCTCCACAACATTAATGTCTCATCGAAACATACCACTGACGTGACTTCTTCCCCAGAGTCCATGTGCTTTCTCATAGCAGATCCAGGATCATGGCTCACGAAATGGGATTATGGTTACCACTAGATTGTTGATATATACAATATGCCTACTCAGATATATTATCATTACAACGTCATTGCTGCTCATCTCGTCAGAGATTCTCTTTTACATGAATACATTGCTACACACTGTCTTTCCTCGTGAATGTTATACATATTGTGATTTGATTGTTACGTGTGACATTAATTTGGATTTGTGCACATTGGATATTTAAATAAACTCCAATTGATATGATTGAACAGAGCTTTTCTCTCCACTAACCTGCGAGGTTGAGATAGTCCCATGTTGCTCCCTTAGGAAAGTTCTTCTTGATGTTGATCGCCCACTGGTAGTCACTCCACCGCTCCTTCCATGCCTGCAGGATGGCTTGCTTCAGGTTGACCACCTTCATCCTGCTACAAACAGCAACACGTTTGCCACAAATGTAATGTTCGGGGTTTGGCAAATCTCTAACACGCAGCCATTGCAGCTACATCGTGCTAACTTTTAAGTACCACTCGGTTTAGCTTGTCGTTGTTTTACATTACTCGTTAGCTATTTGGCCACTAGCCGTTAGCTTCCGTTGTCATTCACCAGTCGACTGAAGTAAAGTTTGTCCTGCTGGCTGCGGGAAAACCTCCAACATGCCGCAGAAAAGCAGATAACCTCCAGTTGCACTGCGTCACAACGACATTTTACCTGTTTGCTGTATTTTTGCAGCTTCTTCACCGTTTCACCCTCATACGCTTCACAATGCAAGGTACGTCATTGTTGTTTTGAAAGACATACGCGCTCATTGGTTCATCTGGTGACGCGGGAGTATTCCTGTCGCTGATTGGCCAGAGAGGGAAACAAACCGCGGAGCTCGCGCTAGCATCACAAGATGGCGCACTTTACAAACTTTAGAGACAAATGGAATCCAGATAAAAAGTAAAGGAGCAAGGTAAGAACCACAGACTGTGTATAAAAAGGTAATAATGTAGAAATATTAAAGTGACGGGAGGAACAATTATCAATTAATCAAGTAATCAAACCCGGAACTTGTCGAGTTTAGCTAACATTCTGTCAGGGAACAGGTGCCTGGGGCGGAAACACACCTTACTTATTATTGATTTGATCTAATAAGTAAGAACAATTTTGCTTTCCACATAAGACATTAACCAGTATAATTAAAAACAAAATTAACTGTAAAATTGGCTCAGTTGTTATTATGGTATTCATAACTTGCTACGATTCAAAAAAAGTCGAGAGATTTGACAAATATATATTTATATATTTATCCTGGTTCTGATGACACTCATGGAGCGTTCACACATTCATGTACATGAATTCCATGTTATTGTCGTTAATCTGTATTGGAATATATCAATCAGCTGGCCCAGACATTTTTAATAATACTTTTCTTATTCCACAGAATCTATGCATCCCCTGTAGTTCTTATCTCTATTTGACATTGACAAGGACCCTTGCGTTAACACTGTCAATGGAGTCAAATGCATCACTGCATTTTATTTTTTGTGTGCCAGTCCAGGGTTGTTCAACACAAGGTTCTGTTCTGTCCATTATGTTAGAGGTTGAGAGAAATGCAATAAATAAATAAAAATCCTAATGAATTAACAACTAAACACCTGCTTTCACAACTAAACATCTGTTTTCACAGATAATCAATCAAACAGATTTTAATGTGAGAGTAAATTCTTAATGAAGTGAGTTATTAGCTATTGTTGTTATTTTTTACATTGATAATGTGATTCTACATGGTATGTTATGCTTTGACAACACACTTAAATATCACAAAGCTAGTAGATACTGAATATATTTTCATTCAAATTCAATGTAGAGTTTAAAAACATTAGCTTATTAGTGCAAAAATCCGGTTTCTCACAACCGAAGCCCCGACACGTAACAGTTAGTTTAAAGGATTGTTGAAAGTATTTACAGCATCACTTGAGCATGGTCTGAGTTTCCCTGACTGTCTCTTTTCCACTTTAAGACTCACTCCTTCAACGTGTTAAAAGGGATACTGTTCACCATATCAAAACCACCCCAACTACACCTGCCAGTGAGGTCCTGTATTGAGTCTGTGGCAACAAAGACCCTCATTCTGTCTGACACTGGAGACGTTGTCCCGGCTTAAGCGAGGTCCGCGTCCTGGGACGCTGCGATGCCAGCCAGCCAAAGATGATCCATGCACGCTGGCATAGTCTAGGTAGGCTGGCTTTGGAGAGGTGATGAGGGTATGAGTTGTGAGTGTGTGTGTGTGTGTGTGTGCATGCAAGGGTAACTGGGGAGATGGATCATCTCCCTGTTGCTCTCTGCTGCATTACATAAGGGTGCTGACAGATTTGAGTCTGGGGACACCAGAGAGACTGTTGTCACAGCTCTGTGTCTGTTCTCATGACTTCACTGCTGGGACAGACTCAGGTTTGCTGACTCTCATTTTTTTATGTGCGACTGTGTGATTTGATTCAGTTTGAATCCATTGACTTGTCCCAGTACAATGGAGCTTACTGGTGTTTGGTTTCTGTTATTCCTCCAATAGCACCTCAGCATGTAAATGCACTAACTTTGCCCAGAAGGAAGACACTCCTCATAACATCTGTTGATTTCATGATTATTATTTAAACTGAAATGTTCATAATTTTCTCAGATGTAATTTCATAGGTGCTTTGAGCTCTACAAAATACCCCTGAGCTCCATTTTACTGGGGCAATGGCTATTATATTCAGACCTCAGCAAATAACACTGAAACTATGTGGATTGTATGTATTGTAATTTTGTGTAAACTATGTATTAAACACATACGGGAAAACTGGTAACAAATTCATAAAAACATATACTGTATTATTGTTTACACAGAGGCAGAAGAGGATAATCAATCTATTTATTTTCTTCTACACAACTCCACTGTCTTCCTCCTTTTTTCGCTCTCAATCTAAAACACACCAAGGGCCTTTGGGCACACACAGGTAATTACCAATGGTTGAGAGCCAGGAAATGAGAGTGGGCTCTTTCATGTCCCCTCAGGTTTTCAGTTCATGTTGCTCTATGAATCTGGAGTTGGCATCTACCATAACTGAAGGAAGATATGTCACCATGTTTAATGCTGCATACCACCAGGGAAAGACATAAATGCTGTTTGCAGACATCTCATGTCAAAGCCACTGGGATGAACCTTGGTTACAGCAAATTTAAAAACTTCTGAATTTGAAGGAGGGCGGCACTCCAGTTTCATCCCACAGATATTTAGGTTTCAATGTGGCACTATAAGGTGTGTCAGAGATTTCCGATGCCAAAACCATATGTTAAATTCCAATCTGCAGGTTGACAGGATTGGATTGGATCTTGACGTATGTGACGTATGAAACTTTGGCATCTGAATCTGTTTTTGTGTTTTGTTTGTTTCTTCAAAGTTCTTTGGTTTAATGCAGTTTTAATTAAGGTGGCCATGGAAGTAACTGCTAATATCACCCATGATCAGTTGTAACAAGGTTAAATACTTGACTTCATCTGGACAGAATAGTTTTCATTTATTTATTTAGATTTCAATTGTATTGGACTTAAGTTCACACAATATTGTCTATTTCTAACACAATAGCAAAAATATTGTGTATGTACTGTTTCTGTTGTGATTGTAAATACAGTCTTTTGTAGTGGATATTTGTATCATGGCAGAAAAGGCGTAGTTACGAGGGGCTGAATAATAAATAAATAACTAAAATAATAACACAGATCTTTGATTGAGTGATACTACCACAGGAACGAACAAGGAGTATTTTAGCGGTGCCACATGCGGCTTGACACTGAGGAGCTTGATATAGCCCCTTTAACGCAATTTCCCCTCATTTTACTGTCATCCGAAGTCCAGGCTACCGGCAGTTTCTTCCAGCATTAATTAGAGCTAGTCTATAAGGGCTAACTGGCAGAAAGCCCAGCACGGCCTCTTCCTCGCATCCTTCCATATGTTTTAGCTCCTCACAACAGCCTTTTGTTGGTGCAGCAGTTTTATTTTATAACACGTGATCAAACGTGTGAGTCCAGGCCCCAGCTGGCTTCATCAACTGTTCCCTGGGAATCACAGAAGGGGCATTCCCAAGGGATTCTGGGTGCAAACTTTACTGTTGCGTAATTTAGACAAAATATGAAGACATAGCAAAAAGTCATCACTGTCTGTCTGTCTTTAAATTATAGTATCCATAATTACTGTTGGTGATTGAGGTTTGCTCCCCAGCTGCATTCCTTTTTTTTTTTTAACCAGCGGGTTACATGGCAACAGCCTCCATATGGCAATTAATAGGTTTTACTTGCTGGAGCAGTAAGTGTGAAGTGAGAGGCTGAGCACCAGAGCCTTTCATAGCTCTACAGTTACAAACAACTGCTAACCATTATTGAATTGTACCATTTTCTGCCTGAAGAGCTATATACTCATCAGATCTATATGACCTGTGTTTAGGATTATAGCAACCCTCTGACTTGTGAGGCAATTTATCCTGACATGGCTTTAATAATCCATGACCACTAGTCATCTAATCCTAATATGACAGTACACCAATTTGACATCCCTGCTCTCAGAAGATGGCTCATTCACAGAAGTCAAATTTAGAATTCTGCAACCCGTGCTACACTGATGAAAAATCTATCATGCTTTCATGCAGTGGGCACTCATTAACACTGTCAGCCACTAATCCTGAAAGCCTCACTTCTACTGTATGTGTATGTTACCAAGCCCCACAAAGCCAGGCCAACCCTGCCCTGACCATGTTACATAATCAAACTTGGCAAAAGCTTCCAGCATAGCCTCTATGATCCCAGTGTCAGTTAGTGCTGAGACCCAACGCCTGAGCTCAGCACAAGCAGTGGCCAGCAAGTTAATCCCACATCTGTCACTCACTGTGGGTGATTTAATCACCCCAACCTGAATTATTTAGAAACAACTGATTGAAACATCTCGTGCAAAGAGTTCAGGATTTTTAATCACTGGACAAAAGTTTGTTCAGTGGTGACGATGACCTGGTTCTTGTTAATTGGTAATTGCATAACTCTTATAACACTTTACTCTAAGGTGGCCAGTGTCATTGTAGTTATAACATCGCAGTTACAGTTGGTGGAAGGATGCAGTATGGGTCAGGAAATAACTCATTACATTTAGATGTGGAAATCTAGTGAATTTATGTGTTGTTTTATAAGGGGCATTCCCCTTAATGGGCTATAGTTATTTGCTCTCTGAGTGTCCTTTCAATTTCATATATATGTTTTCATCCAGTATTGGTTTGACTGCAGAACAGTAAAATACTTAAACTTACCATTGTGCAGTTATGAGGGCTTTTTCAGAGCAGACATTTCACTTGTTGCAGTGAGAAATACAGTGTTACTAACAATGGCTTAATTCTATTCATGTGTCCCAGTAAAACATGACAGCAGATCAGTGAGCCAACATGCCCAAATAACAGGGACCTTACTGGAGCAAATAATTGGAGTTGAGAAATAGACATTTGATTAATGACAAAAAAAGGCCCAGAGTGACATTTAATACTTGAAAACATTCAGGTTGGTAGAGTAATAGTGATCTCTCATGTGTTGTTACTCCATTGATCTGATTAAGTCAGCTGCAGGCCTCTTGCCTAGTTCAGCAGGGCCAAAAGGCCCATGGCCCTGCTGGTTGTTCGTGTGTCACAGTGATTAATTGATGAGCCTTCTTGAATAATTGGCCCAAGAACAAGGAGTCATCTGTCTGTGGTGACGTGAATCTCAAACCAGCCCTCATGGTGATGTTTTGCCTCAGCTACCTCTTCA